AAACTAAGCAAACAGGAATAAAAAAAATTAATCAAAATGTAAAAAAAAAAAAAAAAAAAAAATTATACCTGGTCCTGTCCAGTGCCGTATGATAAGGTGGGGAGCATAAATGTTAGAAATGATACAAAATTATCATGCAAATGGTTCAATGATATATATAAAAATTCACAAAAGAATCAAATGAACTTTATTTTCATTAGAATATTTATTAGAAATTGAGCCAGTACAAGCAATGCAAGAGTGAATAAAAAAGATTCATACACAGAAATCAACAGCTTTCTTACACAATAACCAATACAGTCTAAAAGTGCAACTTAAAATATAACATTCAAAATAACCACAAACTTTTAAAATATGCAGAAACAAGCATTAAAATGTCAGGTCTATATGAGGAAAATAGTACACTTTACTGAAGTATATAAAACAGGGATATAGTAAATGGGGAGATATACCAGAGTATACAGTAAATTTTCCCATAAATTGATATCAAAAGTTGGGAAAAATCTACCAAATTGGCAATGGCTTTTTCTTAACTTGGTGAGGTTAGTCTAAAATTCATGCAGAGGAAGTATATCCAGAAACGAACAGGAAACTTTGATATAGAATTATGATGATACTGCTCGGTGAATGAAGGAAACATGCATGACCACGGCATGGGAAAAAGACACTCAACCTCACTAGTCGTTAGAAAAATGCAAAATAAGAAATAACAAGATAATTTGTTTTGTTCTTAAATATTCTTAAACTTCCAAAAGATAATGTGAGGGCAAAAAACACCCCCAGAAACTCACAGATACAGTTGCGAGGAGTTTAACAGGCCCACCTTTCAAAGGCAATTTGGGCGTGACTTGACCTGCTGACCTGTCCAGTCCAGCTCTAAAAGGCACTTTCAGCATCCAGCCTCGGGGACATGCCAAAGTGCACTCAGAGAGGTTGGTTTCGCACGTTCATGTGGCGCTGTGCCTCGTTCAAAAGTTATGAACAATTCAAATGCCCACAAGTAATAAAATAATTTTTTAAAATATAGGTAAGATAGTACAGCCATTGAAAAATAAAATCAGTCAATTATACTGATAAAAATACGCTGTGAGAATTCCAAGTTCCTGACTAAAAATCAGAAGACTGTTATAGGATATTATATACTGTGGGCCATAGTTTGTGTTTAAATGTTTATATATTTATACATGTGTATTATGATTGTAAATGCACAGAGTAAAAACAAATGACTAACTTTTGAGGAAAGAATAAAGATTATTATGTGATGTGATTAAGGGGCCTTTTGCTTTCTCTATATTTGTTTGAAATTTCAAAGTGAAAATATATGAAGTATATTTTACAGTATAAACTATATGAAGTATATGATGCCATATATGAAGTATGTAATTTTAAAAACTCCCTTACAGGTAAATGTGACAATCTTAAAAGTTTGTATATGTGAATAGTTTCACATATATCTATTTTACAAAGATTGAATGTTTTTCAATCTTTTTCAACCTTATTAAAAATAATAGTATTTCAAAGATTAAATGGTAGTGCTAGATCAAAAAATATATATACTTTTAGAATGTCAGAGGAAATAGTAATATTGTAAAGCTCATCAGGAGTCTCCCAGGAGGATTAAAGTTCCTGAGAAGAAACAGCCTTTTGTCAGCAGCAGGTCTTACTTTGGCTTCACACAGCTTTGCTCAGCAGTTTTGAAGGTGTCCCATACATTGTTATAAGATTTTGGAAAACGTCTGAAGTTTGGGGCAGTCATGGCCTCCTTGTAGACATAGGCTATTTGGTTACTTGAAAAGCCATCAAGACAAGATGGAATGAAGTCACATGCCCAAAGATTGAAATTTCTAGAAACATGCTGCCCTTTATCTGGGGAGATCTTCTTACGTCCCAGGCCCTGGGAAAGAATCACAAGATTAGTGGAAGAAATATGCAAAGTCACATAGTTTTGAGGTTTCTCACTAAAATCAGCTACTTGATGAATATATGTTTAAGTGCACCCTGTGATAACCCTTACAAGAAGTCTCCTTTAGCAACCTGTTGGATACCATCAATCAACACAGCATTCTGCTACAGTCTTGTTACTGTTATCACACCTTCCTGTGTTACCAGAGGGACTGGATTTTACAGGCATGGAAGTCCAAACCAGAGAGAGACTAGCTGGAAACAGCCTGTTAACTGGCCTCAGCTCCCAGGGACCAAGTAGGTTTCCTGCATTCCAGTGGCTCCTCAGCGCCCTCCCTGGCTGCTTCTGAACACTTGGCTGGGACTGATGGCTTCCTCTCCTAAACCAGAAGGCTGCATTCTCTCCAGTGGGCTCCCCAGAGGCAAGTGGGACCTTTGGCCCTGCCCACAGGCTTGCTTGTTAACTCCTGGCACATTGCACATGAACCTGAGAATTATGGTGTATTCCAAATTGTATGTTTGACTTCATCATAACTAGGTGGAAACCAAGAAAGACAGCTACAATTGAAAGGAAATTGCCTTTGGATTATGCAGATTTTGCATCAGTGCAGTGAAGCTGTCTGTTCATGAGGGCCCATAGCAGTCAGGTTCACACGAGAACACCAACAGCCCATTTAAATTAGGGTCATTTGAGAAGTGTTCAAAAAAGGACAACAATTGGCCATCCATATCCTTGGGTTCTACTACTCAATGAATCAATCTCATATGCAAGGGCCGGTAATATAGCTCAAAGGCACAAGTGCCTGGCTGGCAAGCACAAGGTCCTGAGTTTGATTCCTGGTACCCAAAACAACAACAGCAACAAAAAACCCTACGACAATCTCAGATTCAACTGTCAATGAAAAATATTTTAATTGTATCTATCCTAAATGTGTACAGACTTTTCCTTATCATTATTCTCTAAACAATATAGTATAACAATTATTTGCTTGCATTTGCATTATATGAGATAATAGAAAAGTCACCTGGAGATAACTAACAGTATACAGCAATGCTGGTGAACTTTTCTGAGCTTTCAATGATACAAACATCCAGCTGTGTGGCACACATGCCATAGGTTCACCACCACTGTATACAGGATGATGTATGTAAGTCATACACAGATACGATACCATTTATACAAGGGACTTGAACATGTGCTGGATTTTATATCTTTGGGGTTCTTGCATCTTATCTCTACGGATTCTGATGGGAGGACTGTAGTATCTACAGGGGCCTTGCATCTTATCTCTATGGATTCGGGGGGGGGGGGGGGCGGGTGCCGTAGTATCTACAAACATGAGTAACATGTAGGGAAACCAACAGGGCAAATGCAGCGGCTCTGATGTAGTCTATGCAATTCAGCCTGAGGACAAGAGAAGGGAGGAAAATGGCAGAGGCAGCTTTGCAGGGACAAGCAGAAGACACAGGACACATAATGCAAACATCCTTCTAAAAAATTTATCAACGACATTCCAACAAAATGAAAAAGAAACCAAAGAAAGGACAAAGAAAATGAAAAGGGGGCAACTGCAAGGAAAGAAGTAGCAAGTGAAATGTATAATGAAGTCTAAATATTTTCTACACATGTGACTGAAATGCATTGGAACTTTAATTCACAAAAGAAGGGAGGAGAGGGAGAGGGAGAGGCAGAGGGAGAAGTGGAGGGAATAACTGAATTTGCAGGATTTTAACCTGCCTGAGGAAACCAGGGACATTGCTCTGAGCTCAGGTCAAAGCCCAGGAGTGGAAGAAGACAGCCAGGGCCATCAAAACAACAGCCTCGGGAAGGGAAGTACGGAGATAAAGCACCATGAAAGGCTTGTCTAATCCTTGGGAGAAAACTGAAAATATTAATTTTTATACTCAAAGAGTAATTGTTTATGTCTAGATGCTGTAATGGTTTATATCTAGATGTCTCCCAACAGCTTCATGCACTCAGAGGTGGGATTTTTGGAAGATGTTTGGATCACGGGGCATTTTGGCTGATTAGCTGTCTGGGCAGAAGAGCAGGTCACCAGAGGTGTGACCTGGAAGAGTGTATTTCCCTCCCTGCTCCTCTCCTCTCTCTCCGCTGCCTGACTGCCATGACGTGAGCAACTTCCTCCCACAGTCCCTTCCACCATGCCTTCCTGCCTTAGAACCAGCCAACCGTGAACTGACAATGTCAGCCAAGATAAACCTCCCCTTTGTTAAGTTGTGGGTGTCAGGTATTTTGTCTCAGTGATGAAACAGTGACTTAGGCAGGTGTTAATATACTTCTTCAACATTTATAATTCAGGGAAACTACCGGTAGGATGCCGGAATAAGTCAGAGGGAGCAAATAAATTCAACCAGTCTAACAAAGTTGGGAGAAGGAGACAAAAGAAAAAATATAATCATGATAAATAAGAAACATACAGAGACAGTAGAAAAAAAACCAAAAACATAAATGATGTATGTGGAGTAAATTCTTATATAAAGAAACAATGACTCTCAGAATTTTTTTAAAGACCATGCAGTATTCTATTTATTATAGAAGACAAACCCAAGCTAAAATGACTAGAAATCGTGAAGACAAAGGAATACATCAAAATATAAAGAACAAATGTTAAAAGAAATTATAGTGGCAATGCTAACAGGGTAGAATTCAGGGGTAAAAGCATTAAAACAGAATGAAGAGATATTTCCAGTTGGGTGAAGTGGTGCATACCTGTAATCCCAGTACCCTGCGAGACTGAGGCAGGAGATTAGAAATTTAAGGCAGTCTGGGCAATTTAGTAACTTTCTGAGAATTTGTCTCAATATTAAAACAAAAAAATTTAAATAAGGGACACTTTTTATTGGTAAATAGCAAAAGCCACCCAAAAAATAAAACAATGGTGAATTTTTATCTAGAAAGATATAGTATTAGATTATACAGGGCAAAAATCAAAGAAGTTTAAAAATTCAAGAATAATCTTACAAGCAGAAATTCACAGTCTGAGATAAAAAAAAGTAAGAGAAAAATATGAAAGCTTTCAGTATTACAATTAACTGTCTTAAATTAGCAAAGATCTTTGTAACTAAAGGAGGAAATATATATTCTTTTTTTTTCCTTAGCACTGGGGATTGAACTCAGGTTGGCCTACCACGGAGCTGCATCCCCAGACCATATTATCATTTCATTTTGAGACAGGAACTTGCTAAATTGCCTACACTGTCCTTGAAGTGGTGATCTTCCTGCCTCAGCCTCTTGAATAGCTGGAACTACAGATGTGCACCACCACACCCAGCTGGGAATATATATTCTTCTCAAACACCAATGAGACATTTTAAAATTAATCACATACAAAAAAATCTATAATCAAAAAGTCTAAATCACAGGCTATGCTCTATAAAACTTACCATGATCTATACAATTAGACATTAGCAACAAATAGATGACCTAAAAAAATTCTAACCATGTAGAAAATGCAAAACAGTCATCTAAATTTTTTCAGTTGAAAGGGACATGGAGAACAGTATCATAGACTATTTGGAAGCAAATAATTATGAGACCTTAATTAGAAAAACCTTTGAAATGTAGCCAGAGCAATAATCTGAAAAAATTTAATAGTTTCAATAAATCTATTAACAAAATTACAAGTATTTGAACTAAACATTCAACCAAAAAGATGTAAATGAACAGAAAAAATGTGTTTAAAAATAGAGTATAAATTTGAAATGAATTCAGTAAATTTTAGGCAAATGTATTAGTAAAATCTACACAAAAGGAGATATGACATTTGAATAAATAAATAACCAAGGGAGAAATGGAAAAGGAATAAAAATTTAACTCTTGTAAAAAATGTATTGAACTTGGTGTGGTGGTACACGCCTGTAATCCCAACACTTGGGAGGCTGAGGCAGGGTTGATGTTAGTTTGAGGCCAGCCTGGGCTACCGAGTGGGTTCAAGGCCAGCCTGAACTACATAATGAGACCCTGTCTCAAAAAAAGAAAATAAAAGAAAAAATATCAATTCAATTAATTTCATGGAACAATTTTATCCAACCTTCATTAAATGGAGAATCCAAATGTTATGTAAACTTCCAAATCACAGAGAAAGTTGAAAAACGTTCAAAGTTTTCTACAAGACTATCACAAATGTGGTAAAATACATGTGTACAATCCTGTTTATAACCTTGACAATGTAGACATTTATGCCTGGTATGGTGGTAAATACCTTAGTCCCAGCTACTCAAAAGGCTGACGTGGAGGATCATAAATTGGAGGCCAGGCTGGGCAATTTAGCAAGACCCTGTCTCAAAATAAAATAACTTTAAAAGGGCTGGGGGTATTGCTCAGTGGTAGAGCGCTTGCCTATCATGCGGGAGGCCCTATTTTCAATATCATCATCAGAAAAAATTATATATGTAAATATATATCACATATATATTTATATATCATATATAATATATAACTATATGTGATATAGTATATATTTTATATCATATGTGATACATTATATATTTTATATATCACATATAATATATAGTTATATAAAATATATATGATATATATTTTATATATATATATATATATATATATATTTGTGTGTGAATTGCAAGAATTTTTAAATTTTACCTGCCAAACCATTATTGCTAATGAACCATGAAAGTGAGATTGTGAGGAAGGAAAATAAGGGTACAAATTTTATTTTTTATTTTATATAATTCTGTATTATCTGAGTATTTTTAAAGGACATATGCTACTTTGGTAATTTAGAAAACAGCGTTAGACATTGTATTTAGAGAGGCAGGCAGAGAGGATATTCTGACTCTGTATTCCACACTCTACTGGGGGAAAACCAGATTATCATTATTATGAGTATTATTATGGTTAAGGGAGTTAAATTTAGTTAGGACATTGTAACCCAGCATAAAGTATAATGTTGGGAAAGTTGTTTAACCGTTCTCAGCTTTATCTTTAAACTGGGGATACTAAGTAGCCTGTAGAATTGCGCAGGGATTTAAATGAGATGATATAGTAGATGTTTAATAATTCATGGGTATTACCAGAATCATCATCATCACCATTGTCCTCTGACTTTTGGGTTTGGTAAGGATGCTCAGAGCTCACCTTTCACCTAAGGTGTGTTAACCCTACAACGTCCAGTTCGGTAGCCACTTGCCACAGTAGCACCTGAACACCTGAATAGTCAATTGTATAAATCAAGGCATGTAAAACATAAACTAGATTTTAAAGATTTAATTTGGAAAATGGAGTGTTAAATATTGTATCAATAATTTTATATTGATTACATATTGATGTGACAATTTGGGGAAAACATTGAATAAAATATACAAATTGCTCCTTGCCTGACTTCCCAATAAACCTAATGCAAGTTGAAAAATCCTAAGTTAGAAATGTCTCTAATATACATAACCTTCTGAGCATCCCAGCTTAGCAACACAGTACACTGTAGAGTGCTGGGTGTTTCCTCTAATGATCATGTGGCTGGCCAGGAATTGTGGCTTCCTGCCCCTGCCCAGCATTGAAAAAGAGTGTGGTTCTACATGTCTTGTACCACATACTGATAGTTTAGGAAAAAGAGAAAAATTCAAAACTTGAAGTTCCGTTTCTACTGAATGCCTATGGCTTTTATGCTATCTTAAAGTTAAAAAGCTGTAAATCAAACCATCACAAGTAGAAGACCATCTGTATTATTAATTTCACCAAAAAAAAATTTTTTTTTTACATACTGTAGCTACTAGAGGAAAGGTGACAATTACATATGCAGCTTGCACTGTATTTCTCTTGTATACTGCTGTGTTTACCACCTCTAACAAATGCTCTCAGACATTATGGCCCCAATGACAGGGAACTCACTACCTCTAGAGAAAAGGCAGCTGCAGTGATTAGTAAGTCCTTCCTTAGATTGCACCATCTCCCCCTCCTTGTGGCCACTCCTTGGGGGTCCTGGCACAAGAGAACAATTATGGTAAGGGTTTTGACAAGCATGTTAATGGAGGCAGAAGATTGGTGCAGGCTTGAAAGCTGTGTGCACCTTTGACTGGTTCAAGAGTGGGTTTTGTTGTTGTTTTGTAACCTATTATGAGTCCTGTTTTATTTTGACGACCTTCTTCCAGTTTTGAGGTTCTCAACAGGCCTTCAAAAATCAAGAGCCCTGGTGCTGCTCCCCATTTCTTATCAGCAATTTTGGGAAAAATACTCACGGAGTCAAGGTAGCATCCAGAGTTCTCCAAACTGTGGCGATTGTCATGCACAGAGAAGGGGAAGTTGTTACTGACTGCTTGCTGGACAAGAGTGAGAAAGATACGAGAAGACACACATTAGAACTCCAGGATGCTTTCATATCTGATGTACACTAAGCTGGAGAGAAGACGGTGGGGCAAAGCAACCTCTCATTAAGACCGTTACACACAGGACGTGGTCGTACAGTATGTGTGTCAGCTCGGAGCTTTGAAACTCAACCTAATTGACAACTGCTATGGTGGAAATCTAAACAGGCCTCCCAAACCTGGTGTTTGGAAGGGGATTGATTTAGGGGGACTTATAGCTGACTTGCTGTTAGGATGTGGGGTCTAGTTAGCAGAGATGGGTCACTAGCTGTGTGACCTGGGAGGTTTATCTCCCTTCCCAGCTCCCTTCTTGGCTCTTTCTGCGCCCTGTTCACCATGCAGAGCAGCAGCTTTCCTCCACTATGCTGCTGTGCCGTGCCGCCCTGCCTTGCAGCCAGCTCTATATGTACTGAAAGCTCTATGAACTATGAGCAAACATAAACCTCTTCTTTAAATTTTGCCTGTTGGTTGTTTTGTCCCAGAAACAAGGGGAGTAACTAAGACATCAACTTTCTGAAAATCAGAAAAATCCTCTTTCAGAACACCTTCTTTGTAAGCTCGGATGAAAAATGTACAGGCTCCCAGAAGCTGAAAAGGACTGTTGAGGCCCTGGGGCCAACTTCTTTGTCTGAGCAGTAAAAAATACAAGAGACCAGCGCCCCAGCCCAGGTCACAGAGTGAGTGTGGTTGAGGTCTGCACCTGCTCCTCCATCACACCACTGCAGTGCCCATGACGTTCACCATGAACTGGGTCAGGAGGCAGGGTGTGGACGCCAATGACCTGAGAGTGTGACTCAAGGTTCCTGTAAAGGAGCCTCCCTTATTGTCTGGAACCAGGCAGGGCTCCTATGGAATGTCTGGGCCTGTTACAGGGACCTGCAAATGAGGTAGATGCCTCCAGGGCTGCTAAGTGAGAAGTTCCTTGAAAGGAAGGACTGTCTGGTCAAAATGCCAGTCTTAACCCCCTGAGACAGCCACAGAGTTTGCAGCTGGAGCCAGGGCCCTGGACTCACCTTCTCCCTGACTTTGTATATTGGTGGCAGCTTCTCCTCTGCTTGCTGAATAAATTTCAGACAGTAAGGCTCTTTTAACACAGAACTCATGAGGGATTCTGGTGTCTTTTGTGTAAGTCCAATATGAGGGAACTGGAAAAACAGCACATGTCTTGATTAAAACCAGAAAGTTTGAAGCTATAAGCCAAGTATCAGGGCTTCCTCTGTAAAGGGATTAAAGTACAATTTTTGTGCTTCTGGCATGCAATGGAAATGGTGTAATTTTCGTAATTTTCAAATATTCTTTCCAAGACAAAAACATTGTAATGGCCCGGAGCCATCACTGCGGCTGTTTTAAGTTGCAGGGGCCACCCCTGCTGCGCAACAGCCTGGAAATGTGTCCACAGCCTGGGGAGGAGGGCCTGGCCCTCAGAGAGTGTGGGACAGACTCATAGTTGGAGAAGACAGAAATGTATTATCTGAGGGCTGCCTGTGGTCAGGGAACTCCCGGTACTTGGCTCCTAAGATCCAACCCGTTTCACAGGGCTGGGCCAACCTCTAGCAGGTATCAGGTGAGCCCTAAGACTCCGGAAAAGTGGGGTTAAGGGCCCATTTACTGTCCCCTGGGAAGGTGGGGTGGTAAAGGTTGGAGAGGTCTGGGAGGAGAAAAAGAAGGGGTAGCAAAGAATGAAGCAGGAACAGTGAGGACAAAGATTTGGGGTGTTCTTGGGATCTCCCTATAAAAGGAAAGAATGAAAATGGGTGTGTGGAGGGAAATGATCTTCATAAGGTGCTCAGGGACCCTCTGAGGAGCTCAGGGCAGGAGGTGTGTCCCCCAGAGTTGTTCTGAGTTGGTTTGAGGATGTCTGGCCTTGTGTGCCAGATCTGGTGTTTGGGTGGACTCCAGGGCTGCCCGTGGAAGAGGATGTAACCCTGGGGAGACAGCTCTCTTCAGTCACAAGGCCCCTAGGCTGGACAGTGAGGACCACGCTCCCAGCTGCTGGGGACATGAGGCCTTCCTTCCCGAATATGGCTATACCTGGCACTAGAAGGCCACGGCAGCTCACCCCAATTTTATTTGAATGGCACCTCTAAAACAGCACTCCAGAAAAGTGAGTCTCTAGAAGAAGACAAGTAGAAACTAAAGCCGATAAAAAAGAAGACGGACTTTTGGTAAAGAGTTTTACAAAGAAAGAAGAAAGCACCAGATGGTGGTTGGAACCAGGCTGTAGATTCAGAGGTCCTCAGTCCAAGCTTGGTTCTCTCCTGCTGACTGAGCTTTATGCAAGAGACTCAGCCTTCCCAAGCCTGAACTTTCTTACCCATAAAATGGGAATGATCATATCTACTTGACAAGATAGACATTTTTGTTAGAAGGAAAAGTGCTCAACAATTACTGGCAGATTCTCTTTGCTTTGCTTAGCATCTTCTCTTCCTTGTCTCCAACCCCGCTGCATCACTGTAGATCAGTCCTCTTTCCTTCTCCTTTAAGAGTATAATGACACCAGTCAACTCTGTGATTTTCCCTCCATTCTTCCTCCAGTCACAATACAAATGCACCTTCAGATGGCTTTTCATGAATGTCTGCACAAGAATGTATTCAGTAGGTACAGAAAGGCCAGGAGATTATAAGTGTTATACATGTAAGGGTTTTGCTGCAGCCGTGAGAAGCAATGAGCTAGAAGACACATAACAGTGGGTAGATTTTATAAATGCATTGCAGAGTAAAGAAAGAAACAGAATGAGATGTATAACCCAGCACCATTTATGTAAATAAATAACCCATAAACACAAAACAATACATAATTTACAAGAACACATTTAAATAAAAGAACTCCTATTAAACACATTTGAATGGCTGCCCGGGGTGAAGAGAAGAGAGATGGGAATTAAGGGCAAAGAAACCACCACAAAAACTCATAAGCCTTCATGTGCACAGACCCTCCGGAGGACACAGGGAAAACTGGCCACAGGGCCCTCCAACGAGGGGCACCAGAGAAGGAAGAACTTTCTTTCCACGACTGCTTTGTTCTACTTAAGTGTTTCTTAACAAAGCGTGTATATTACATTGTTGTTTTTTCCACAACAGAAATGCAGTCGTTTTTGATGAGAATTGTAATATATACTCCTGGTTTTAAAAAAAAACTCAAAAGAAAAACCTAAGGGAGGAAGTGAAATGCCCCTGAATTCCTACCATCCTTTCCCCTTAACTTGGAGATCATCCCTTCATGCATCCCTATACAAATGCCCATCCATACATATGGACAATTGTGCATGCATGGTAGCACATCATTGATAAGGTAACGTATTATCATCATACTACCAGCGCATTATATGTCAGTGTGATTTCTAAAAATTATGAGTACCCTTGTATTTATCAGTAATTTTTGTTGCCTTTTCTGTCTCCTCGTCACCCTTACCTGTGCACCCTAGATAACAATATTAACTACTGAGCCTTCATCTGATCATATACAAACCTGTATATATGCAAGGGGCCTTGTACTGCTTTGCGGAAATTGGATTATGGTACCTGTGCACCTTGCTTTCCTCACTTAACAAATTTTCTATATATA